TCAGTTGTGGGCTACCTGATTTGGGTGCTGGGAACAGAGCTCAGGTCTTCCCTCCAGCCTGAGCAGAACACTTTCTGGGGAGCAGCTCCAGGCACATGCAGCCCCAGTGGGCTCACCATGGCCATGCCCTGGCACCCAAGGCTTTGTTTCCAAGGAAACTGCTAGGCATCACCCGTGCAGAAGCTGCATCTGCAGGCTCTTACCGGTGCTCCCTGTGAGTCCTCCCTCCCCTCCCGGTTACCAGGTCTAGGGTGCTGCATTCCAGTTACTCAGCAGGCTGTGCCCGGTACCTGCTGTTCTCCGCTAGGTTGAGATGCCGTTTGATATCTAGTAGGACTTCCTTCAGGAAGACCAGCCGCTTCTCCTCAAACTGCTGGCACTGCTCGAATACCTGCTCCATCCCTTCCATGTACTGCGGTGTGGTCTTACCCACGTCTTCCAGCACCTTCTCATACTTCTCCTGAGTCTGTGGGTACCAGGATGGAGGATGAGGTGGGGCCTTACCAGGCCTGCAGCTCCAGCCACCACCCTCAGGGCCACCCCATCCCAAACCCCGCCACCACCACCACCATAGATACCTTCTGCACATCCTGCCTACATTTGTCCACTTTGTCCACCAGTTTCTTCTGCTGTTCAGGGGTGACCGACTGCTCCGTCTTACTGTTCATCTCTCGGGTCATGGCCAGCTTCTCCTCCTTGCAAGCCAAGTGGTAGGCCTTCTTGGCTGCCTCTAGCTGTGGAGAGACGGCCACGGTGGACATACAGGTAGTCACTCATCAGCACACATGCCTGCCCACTCCACATCCCTCCACTGTGGAGCTGCCTTTGTATGAGGCAGGGGGCTCCAGCCCATGGGCCCATTTGGGGGTGCTGCCCCTCATGGTACTGAAGACATGCCAGTCACAGAGATCTGTGGAGGCAGCTGCCCGTGTGCTGGGCAAAGCATATTAGGTACCCCAGGAGCAGAGACCGTGTGCGGACAGTTCTTTCTGCAAGATGCCTCCCTGTCTACAGATGCCCTCCTGTGACCCGCCATCCTTGAGCGCCACCCTTTGGCCGACCAGCTGTCCTGCCTGTCTGAGGTACCTCCTTCATCTTCTTAGCCCAGGGCTTCTGGGCCTTTCGGAAGCCATCCTCGGCCTCCTTCGTCTCCTTGAAGCCGCCCATGATCTGCTTGTGGTAAGCATCCTTCTGCCAGTTCTTGACTTTCTCCAGGTCCTCGTTCAGCAAGCTGTTCTTCACCTCCTGGTGCAGCTCGCTGACTTTGTCTGCCTCCGTCATCATGGCCCCCCATGCCCGCTCCAGGCTGCCGTACTGCGGACCTGGGGGAAATGTCAGGGAGTTACAGGGACACCTCCCCCCAACACACGATACCCACTCTCCTCTTTGATGCTTTCCCCCTCTCTTCCCATGGCAACAGAAATATCTTCCTCCACTCTCCCCAAACTTCTATCCATCCTCTTAAGACCCTGGATGACTGCTTCTGCCAGGAAGCCTTCTCTGGTTGCACTAGCCTGCAGCCCCCCCCCCCCCATGGGTTCTTCTCCAGCATCTGTCTTGCTTCCCATTCGTTGTCTGCCTCTCCTCGTGGGCCACCTCATACGGCAGGAGCCTCTATAGGCTCAGAACAGCGCTGGGTCCAGGATAGGTGCTCTACGCAAGATGCTGACCCTGAAACTCGGGAACCAGAGGTGAGTGACAAGGTTCTGAGCCAATGGGAAGCAGACCTCACATTCATTTGTTGCTAGGCACTGTAGGCCCTGCCCCCATGAGGACTGGAGACTCTGAACAAGCACAAGGAAAGCTGAACCTGAAACTTCTGCTTTGTCAGAATCTAGGGTCCTGACAACTGGACAGTGTGGTTTGGTGTGGGCCCTGGACCATGGCAGACCACTGCCATAGTCCCCTGTGTACACAGAGAGGTGGGGTGTGGCTCTGTAGGTAGAGTGCTTGTTCACCCAGCATACTAGGCGAGCACTCTACCTACAGGAAGCCCTCTATTGGACTTCCAGCACTGCATAAACTGGAACTGCTGACTGGGGGGGGGGTGTCAGAAGTTCAAGGTCACCCTTGGGCTGTTTAAAGAATTTGAGATCAAGCGCTCTCTCTCTCTCTCTCAAAAAAAAAAAAATGCGTGTATGAGCTTTTTTGATTTTCTTTTTTTTCCCCTAAGATGTATTTATTTTGTGTGAGTACACTGTAGCTGTCTTCAGACACACCAGAAGAGGGCATCAGATCCCATTACAGATGGTTGTGAGTCACCATGTTGTTGTCTGGGAACTGAACTCAGGACCTCTGCAAGAGCAGTCAGTGCTCTTAACCACTGAGCCATCTCTCCCTTAAGACAGGGTTCTTCTGTGTTGTCCCAGCTGTCCTAGAAGTAGCTCTGTAGACCAGGCTAGCCTGGAACTCATAGAGATCAGCCTGTCCCTGCCTCCAAGCACTGGGATTAAAGATGTGAGCCACCACTGCCCAGCTTATGAATGAGCTGTTTTAAATGTTCTGATCATGACAGGGCTTGAGGGTGGCACGAGCTACCGTTGTTCTTGATATTTGGGGACTTTGAGAATGATGGGAGGTTGATAGCTCTAATTTCCCTTGGAATTATTCCAAAAAATGCATATTAATGGAAAAAAGCTTGTCTGACCATCTCAAGATTATGGCCAGCTTGGGCCGGACAGCAAAACCTTAAAGAGGAGGAGGAGGAGGAGGAGGAGGAGGAGGAGGAGGAGGAGGAGGAGGAGGAGGGAGGGAGGGGAAGAATTAGAAGTGGCAGCAGCAGCTAGATATGGTGGTGCACAATTTAAACCCAACACTCAGGAGGCAGGGGCAAGCGGATTTCTGTGCCAGCCTGGTCTACACAGTAGCAAGTTCTAGGCAGCCAGCGCTACATAATAAGAGTCTGTCTCTAAGAAACAAAGTAGCGGTGAAAGGGTCGGAGAGGGAGAAAGAGAAGCTAGCCATGACTGTCCACACCTGAAATCATCGATATGGGGAGGGGAGGTAGAAGGATCAGGACCGCAGGGTTTATTCTCTGTCAAATATAGAACTGGAGGCCATCCTGGGCTACATAAATTTCTGTATCAAAATTAAGCCTCTTCTAAAATAAAAGGTAGTGTGTGTGTGTGGGGGGGTCTAGAATCACACAAAGCAGGAGAATAAAGGTCTTTTGGTCGTGAAAAGCTCTACGGCTGGGGTGCTAGGTGCACCGGGGCCCGCCCTGGGGGACCCGCTAGAGCCCCGGGGTGAGGCACCTTTCTCGATGAGCTGGCGCCAGCGCTTGGCCCAGTCGGTGAGCTGCTGCGCGTATGCCTTCTCGATCTTGGCGCGCTCCTGCACGCAGCTCATGAGGTCGTTGCACAGGCGGTGCCCATCGTCGATGCGCTTCACCGTCCGCTTGTAGTTCCCCACCTGGCGTGTGAGCAGCGAGTGACAGCGCGGCCCCTGTGATCCCGGCCCTGGCCTGCAGGGGGCGCGCCGCCTCTCGCCTCGTCCCGCCCTCCACCTTGCACGGAGCCCCAGAACTCCAAGTCAGACCCGTCTCCATCTCCCCTCCCCTCCTCTGAAACCAACTCGCTGCCGAGAAAGAAAAAAAAAAGCAGACGGGGTTTTATATAATTTGGACTTGGGCTATAATGAATTATTCATTTTTGCCCTTGTGAGCTAATTCTATTATATTTATACGAATCGTATAAGCTTGAGCCGAGCGGCTGTTTCTTGACACAATATTGTGTTTTGTGGCGCATCTCTTTGAGCACTTATTAATCTAGGCCTGCCAGGTTCCGTTTTGCTTTCCAAAGCCAAAAGCAATATTTTTTTTTCCTCCAGGGCTCAAAGACTCTCAGAGGCCCCTGAAATGCTGGCTTGTCTCACCTCTACCTCTACAGGATATGGGGTCTCCCCGCTAACCCCACTCTCTGGTTCAAAAATCTTCCCCTGCTCACCATGCAGAGGGGTACAGTGGCAACAGCTGGGCCGCTGCGTGGGAAGAGGTGTGAGCATTTTTCCTAGCCTACCTCCAAGGCTTCACGGCTTGTTGGACACTGTTGTTTGTTTGTGTTTAAGGGTCCCAAGGGAGTCTGGATGAAGGGCTGAGGTCGTGGGTTGAACAGGGGGACAGGTGGGAGTCTAGACCTCCACTCACCTCCCAGAAGCTATCTGTGATCTCCTCGGAGGCCTCGTCGTAGGAGCCAGACATGGCGCAAGCGTGGGGAGCCGGGCAGGCGTGGATCTGAAGTTAGCAGGCTTGCGGCTCACACGCTGCAAGGGCGGGAGAGAGACAGAGGTGAGGGAAGTGGTCCTGTTCCAGGTTTGTGTCCCTGACTCCCAGGGAGAAGGAAGGTTCCCTGGGACGAGCCTCAAATTGGGAAAGGGGCTTCCTGGCAGGGCTTACCATTCTGAGAACAATCTGTAATTCCTGATACATATCTCAACATCTATCTCCACACCTGCTCCTCCTGCCTCCCGGGATTCGGCTGAATGGTTCTTTTTAGATGCCATCTTCCTACAGAAGCCCTCCCTCCCACCTTCCTGAGCCTTATCTGCACCCGGTAAGCACCAGTGGACTTCCTGGATGAGCACTGTCCCCCTCTCCTTAGCACGACCCACCCACCGTGACCTAGATGCAAAAGATAGTCCTGGATTCCCTTGACCCCAACACAGAGCCCCTGGTCTCAGCCCCTACAGCCCCAGCTTCTGCCTTGCAGTTCCCTGGAAGCTGACAGGAGGCCTCTCTGTCATTTACACCCTGACCTAAGGGCGCCACCCTCCCCCCATTCTTCCCGTTTGGTCCTGTCCATCCTCTTTTGACTGTCCTGGCTCTGCCTCAACAGCCCATGAAGCTGCTCACAGGCCTTCCCCCACATGTCTGGGCATGTGGCTCTCTGGCCCTGGGGTCACACTGTGATCTACACAACATGCCCGGGTGCCGTGTCTGCCCTGGATCTGTCACTGGGCATCACAGTCGCCCAATCTAGGACATGCTCTGCCCCAGGGACCAGGGGGCAAATTCCTCCTCTACTGGGCCTCAATCATCAGGAAACAGCCACAGAGGGCCGTGGGGCCTTCAAAGAGGCAACCATGGCTCCCGGGACACTTTCCTGTCTGTGCAGTGCAGCTGTGGTCGCTGTACTGTGAGGTTTCTATCTGGTTTATGTTGGCCTGGCTCTGCGAGATTCTGCTCCTCCTAGAGAGGACAGGTAAACCCCATCTCCTAGCAACCACTGTCCCTCAGACTCAGGGCAAGCAGTAGCAACCCGTGAGGATCCTCAGTCAGGAATGCCCCTCCCCCAGCCTCCGTCTCTCCATTCCCTCTGGCCTGATACCCTATTCCTGACCCAGTGTGGCTTTTCCTGTGTTACCTGGGTCTGAAGATCTAGATGACCACAAACCTCTTTAGCCAAAGTGTGTGTGTGTGGAGGGGGACTGGATGACACGTGACATTCCGTCTCACCGGACAGAGGTCCCCCCCACAACACCGCCTCTAGGAATTCACCTTCAGGGTGCTAGGCAAGCATGCACAGGCTGGCCCACTGCCTTTGGGCGAACACCAAAGGCAGGGAGTGACCCAAATCCATGTCCCTGGAGCTAAATAAAGTACAGTGCAGACCCATAGCTCCCACCCCATCCCAAGCCACGCCACCGAAGTGACGCGTGCAGGTCAGCCTGGCTGGGGAAGTGTATATATACAAAAACAAACTATTTGGGGAAGACCGCAAAGCATAATTAGAACGATGGTCAGCTCCGAGGGCGCACGTGACTGGGAGGAGTGAGCAAGGCTGTTATCACCCTGGGTCCACCAAGAAAATGGAGGCAATTTTCTTGATTTATGGTTGATGTGGGAGGGCCCAGCCCCCTTTTGCATTGCCACCCCTGGGCAGGGAGTCCTGGACACAGTCAGGAAGTAGGCTGAGCAATCTTGTAAGCAACGGTCCTCCATGTTTCCTGCCTCAGCTCCTGTTTGAGCTCCTGGGCTCCCAGCTGAGGTAGCCCGTGAAAAGTCCAATCCCAATGTGCTCTGTGACTCTAGGCAAGTTATGTGACACCCTCTCCCCCGGGCTTTCCTGGACTATGACTTAAGAATTCGATGAGAAACTGGAGAGACGACTCAGTCGGTAGCAGTGCTTGCTGCTTTGCTGCTCTTCCAGGAGCCCCAAGTTCGGTTCCCAGCACCCATGATCAGCTGTAACTCCAGGCCCCGCACACACAAATATACATCAGACACACGATTAAAAATAAATCAGTATGAATTTTTAAAAAAATGAGTGAAGGAGCCGGGCAGTGGTGGCGCATGCCTTTAATCCCAGCACTTGGGAAGCAGAGGCAGGCGGATTTCTGAGTTCCAGGCCATCCTGGTCTACAGAGTGAGTTCCAGAACAGCCAGGGCTACACAGAGAAACCCTGTCTCGAAAAACAAACAAACAAACAAACAAACAAACAAAAACAAAACGAGTGAAGGAGCCCAGCCCACGGCAGACTCTAGGCCCTCCGCATTCCAGCCCCTCAGGGTCGGACCCACATGGGAATGTGCTTAGGGAGGCAGACAGGGTGGGGCAGTGGAAACCAAGCGACGTCAGATGAGCTCTCAGAAGCACACACAATCGCGCACACACCGAGGCAGGAGGAGGTTCCTCTCCCACAAAGCACCATGCCCTCTTAATGACAGGGTTTCTGTCAGGGGTCAAGAAGTGGGCGTGGCCGGCGTCTGGCACTTCCTGTAACGTGCCCAAGAGGCTCCTGGACTTCCTAGACAAGAGGCCACCACACCCGGGATGGGGGGAAACGTCATCCCATGGGGACCAGCTGTCCAGCACACCAGCACTACTGCAGGCCACGAGGGTCATGGTAACAAACAGCTGGCAGCAAGGGTTGTCTGTTCTATGCTCTGAGCACAGTGAGCGGCAGCTGGGGGGCTTGACTCTGGGGCTCGTGTCCCACGCCCACCTGGTTAGACTGAAGGGACACGCAGCTGGCACAGTATGCTGTCCGTACATCCCTGGGCAGAGTCGAGGATGGCTCTGGTAGTGGGGGCTGGAGATAGCAAAAGGAACCCTCCCAGTGTGCACACCCACGCACAGGCGGTGGGGGAGGGGAGCGGGAAGTTGGGAGCAGAGGAAAGGGGAAGCTGCTCCCCTGCCCAGCAGCACGGGAAACCCCCGCTTTCCCAGACCCCTAATGCTAGGGTTGGGATTCTCAGGCATTTGAATCAGAACTCAGGATGCCATGGGTTCCCCCAAAGAACTGTCACGTTCCGGCTCCCCCCAATTCATGATGGAGTGTCCCGCGATGTCACAGCTTCAGAAGCAGTGTAAACTGACAAGTCACCCTCCTTCTCTGCCTCTCTCATGCTAAGCTGCAGCCTCCCCCCCTCCCCCCCGCCATTGCTGGCATCAGGCTTGGTTGTGAGTATTTACTGAGTGTCTGGTATGTGCTAAGAGCTGGTCTACATGCTAGGAACTTCATCTACATGTAAAGATGGAGAAACTGAGGCACGGGGCAGAGAAGATGGCACATCCAGAGCCACTGAGGTGGTGAATGATGGAGCTGGGTCCTACCCTGGCTACAGCTACAGACCCCACATGGATCTGGTTCCTTCTGAGCCCCAATCCCTGGGAGGTGAGGAGGAAGCCAGATAGAGGGATGAGGCCAGAGGCACTGAGGGAACCAGAGCTTTGCTGAGCACTGCGACAGGTGTCGCAGACCCTTGCACACAGTTCTGTTGTCTTCCCAGAAATCCTTAGGGGAGGGATTGCCCATTCCTTCAATCATGAGGAGAACTAGTGTCCCAGTTAGGACTTGACCCTGGCAGAGGGGCTGCACAGTGTAGTCTTACAACATAGACTTGGAGCCAACAGGCTAGCTTCAACCCTCTTCTGCACCTCAGTTGTTCCATCTGTAAAATGGACTGTTTCTACGGTGGTCACTTTTTGTTATTCATTAGCTGCCCTTGGTGTGGGTACTGTGGCAGCCCTTTCAGGGGAGCCTCTCTATGTGAGGCCAGTGCACCCCTGGTGGGCTTCTAACTACTACCTGCCACCAGGGAGATCCTGGATAAGTCTTTTAACGGAGGATGGAATCTCAGTTTCCCTACGTGTGCGGCAGCAAAACAACACCCGTGGGTTCCAGTCACCTCTTCTTTACACGTACCCTTTTCCTCCACAACCCACGGAGAGAGGCTCTTCAGTTCTACAGGGTGGGTGAGGTTCAGAGAGGTAAAGCAACAGGCCCAGGTCACACAGCAAGCAGGAGACTCTGGGCTGGTAGGGTCCTCAGGTGTTCAGCCCAGCACTGCAGTATCCCTCCGGACTGCCTGGCCATACACAGCTATCTCAGGTTCTACACATCCCCAGTGGCGTCCATCACTCTCCTTCCTTAGAGATGGGCAGAGCAGTCAAGCTTCTTTTGGGATTCCAATGTGGTAAAAAACGGGCTTAGTGTGCCCCCCGCACACACTCACACACACACGCACACACTCCAGTCCACAAACCTCCTCTGGTCACACACCCTCAAGTGTGCCTCCCCCCTGCCTCCATTCCTGAGTTCCCTGCCCTCATCCACCCTCTTCTCACACCTATCCTTCAGTGTAGGTTCAGGGTACCACCCCAGCTTTGCAGTGTGCTGCCCACGCCATATAGGACTAAAGACTGGGTTCGAATCCCAGCTCTGCCCTTCTCAGTTGTGGGCAGGTTACTTCAACTACCGGTGCCTCAGGCTTCCTCACTGAGAAGCTGGTTGAAGGAGGTACACACCACCTATCCTGGGGCAGAGGTAGAAAGCGGTGGGTTGCCAACACAGTGACCAGTGGCAAGCCTTGTTCTATGGCCAACACCTTCAGCTAGCACACTTAGCTCTCACCTCGGACTTCCTAGGGTCCTGGTGAAGAGACAGGCCCAAGGCTTGCTTCTTCTCAACTTCTCTTTGGATCTAGAAGCCGGCCTGAGGAAGGTGCAGTGCACACAGCTGTTATCCCGGCACTCAGAAAGTGCTGGAGAATCAGGAACTCAAGGCTGTCCTACTGTCTATAGCTAAGTTAAACCAGTTTGAGCCACAGAAGACCTCCCATGTCCCCAACAAAACAAACAAACAAATGGTAACTACCTGCATTTCCACCGCCTGAAGCCCCAAGGGGCTTCTTTAAGAAATGATAAACTCAGCCTGGTAGTGGTGGCGCACGCCTTTTGATCCCAGCACTTGGGAGGCAGAGGCAGGCAGATTTCTGAGTTCGAGGCCATCCTGGTCTACAGAGTGAGTTCCAGGACAGCCAGAGCTGCACAGAGAAACCCTGTCTCGAAGAACAAACCAACAAACAAATGATAAGCTCAGACATTAGGAGCCAGCCTTACTTCTGCTGCAGGGAAGCAGGAAGACCCAGTACCTGGTGCTCAGTGCCTGAGTAGCCAGAAGCTTGGTGAACTCAGCCAGCAGAAGGGGTTAGAGGGAGCCTCAGATTGTCAGGGGCAGCTCCCAGCCCGTTCTTATCTGCATCCTAGCTGCAACATGCAAGCTGAACATCCCCTCTCCCCTCTGTAATGTCACCTCCAAACACAGCCCTACCCTCAGCCTGCTCCCTACCTGATGAAAGAGCTAGCATGTCCCCACAGATCAACACAGCTCCCCTGGGTGTTGCCGGATGGGAAAGACAGAAGATTCTCTCTACCACCTTAGGGTGCACACATCCCATGAGGTAGATGGTGACCGTAAAGGAAGACAGGCACCTGGAACCTAGAACTGCCCAGCAGGAGTGAGGATTGGGCTTCACCCCAGCCTTAGATCCAAGCCTGAAGGGCACAGAGATCCGAGCTTCCCCCATTTTAATTTTTCCAGGGATTCTCCCTCCTTGTTTGTCTAGGGCTAAGTTTGGGGGGCCCTAGAGGCACCCATGGGCGGGGAGCAGAAGTGGGGGCTGGCTGAGAGTAAAGCCACCTACCCTCTGGTCTGGGTTCATCGCCTCTCCAGACACCAGGCTGTCTGTCCTGAGCCCACAGCATCCATGACCGCCTTGAGCAGAGTCAGGGATGCTGGCTATGTGGGTGTGGGTAACACTCCAGCTAGGGACGAATCAGGTTCCCCCGCAGTACAGAATCCAGGTGGCAGAGAGAAGGGAACGTTGGCTCTCTTTGGTGGGGAAATAGGATGTGGTGAGGGCAGATACGGCAGCTCGCTCTCACTCACTCAGAGGGCCCAGCCAGTGTAAAGACACTGAGGTGGAATGAGGGCTTCTGTAGTTAGGTGCTTACAGCAGACTGGGGGAGGAAGGGAGAAAGGCAGGGGGGAGGGGCCAGGTGGAGGATGTACCCTGGTCAGAACACCTGACTTTCTGTCCCCACCACTACAAGGATTGAGGCAATGTGGGGTGTGGTCTAGCTTTCATTTCCAAGGTTTGCAGAGAAGCCCTACAGTGGGCAGGAAGAGCAGGGCCTTGTGGCTCTGGAGGGCGGGGTATCTGGGAGAGGCTGTCATAGGAAGGGAGAGAATGTGGGTGTGGAAATACTGTACCTCTGGAGTCAGGAAGACCTCTGCTGCTGAGAGGAGTGGAGGGGCGAATTTGGAATTGAGGCCTGGGCAGCTGACATGTACTGAATGGAGCTGTTTGGGGAGCCCAGCCCCCCTCCTCAGCTCCAGGCCTTTGAGTACCTGGGCCTTCCTTGGGCTCTCTCTGATGTGGAAGAGGCTCCCGGGGAAAGTGGGGTCTGAGTCTGGTTTCCAAGCAGGTGGTTTGGCTGCAGCCAACTGGAGATGAGTTACATACCCCGGGAACCCCATCCTGAGTCTAGTGGCATTGGAGTATATGCCAAATATCATGCAAAACCCGGACTGTGCCAAGGAGAGGGGGGTGAGGAGGGGGCAGACAGGACAGGAAGGAGGAAGCAGAGGTCAATCTAGGGACAGGTGCTGGCTAAAAGCCTCTGTCTTCCAGACATCACTAAGCCCAACTGGGAGGCCAAGCTGACTGCCCTGAGGTCAGTGGGTCTGGCCACAGAGGGCAAGGCATACCAGCCTAAAGCTTCAGCAAGGGAGGGAAGAGGAGGGAGACACAGCTCAGAGAGGGTTATCTGCACCCGTCCCCATTCTTGCCGGCACACCTCTGCTCTCTCACCACCCACCCCCACCCCAGGCCCCAGACTTCAAGGCGAGAATCGGTACCCACACTCCCAGACTGTGTACTTGAGATTTGCAGAAATCAGCACCACCATAAACCACAACAGGCTCCCACCCTGCAGCCAGTCCTCTGACCTGAGTGCCCAGGGTTAGGAGGGAGGCCCACGCTTCCTGAAGGACCAAGCGCTACCAAGGGGTGCTGGCCCTAGTCCACTCTCAAGGTAGCCTACTCTGGCCCTCTGAGCAGGGTTTCCTGGCTACCTCCTCCCTCAGCTCCTCCCAGTACCCCCTCCTCCGGAGCAGCAGCAGCGGTAGCGGCTCTGCAGTGTCCCTGTTCCTGGAGTAGCAAGGAGCAGGTCCCCAGGAGCATCGCTGCAGAGGGACAGAGAAACGGAGGAAGACCACAAGCATGCCTACAACATAGAGATCCCTGGCTGGCCGGGGGTTGGGACAGGAGCTCTTTCGAGAGCTGCGGGTCATCCCATTGGCACGGAGGGAGAGGGGCTGAGCTGACTCGGCCCACTGTCCAAGCCCACCAGGAGTCACCCCAGAGATTGGTTCTTGACAAACGGCCAGGGACTAGCAGATCTCTGCCCTGAGGCCAGTGGGTCTGGCCGCAGAGGGCAAGGCATACCAGCACGATTAGGGGTGGGAGACAAGCGCACTTCTCTCCACGCCTGGCCCCTCCCTGTCTGGCACCGACCTGAGGGAAACACACAGCTCGGCGGTAGGACTCTAGCCCCTTAAGCCTGTTGTCCCCAGGGAATGGGGCAGCTCTAGAAGTCACGTCTGTGGTACGGACAGGGAAGGAGAGACAAGACAGACAGGAGACAGTCCCGATACGATGCAGAGAGCAGGTCCCTGGCCCCCAGAGCCCCTCGGACCTGCAGGGACCTGCACAGACCCGCACGCTTGCTACCAGGTGCGCCCAGCAGGAAGGCAGGGCGCTGGGTCCCCACTCTCCACGCAGACTTCTCCAGACCCCCCCATCGCCTACCTGAGCCCGGTTGGGCACCAAGCTGGGGACAGGTGGGCGCTTACTGCCCCTGCAGGGCCAAGTCAGGGTCAGAAGGGTTGCCTGATCACCTGCTCCGTGGCAGCGGGCAGGACGGGGGCGCCTGGCGTCGGGCTCCGGGCTCGGTCCTCCGGGTCCCCTCCGGCGCGCTCTGGCTCGGGAGGCGACAGCGCCCGAACTGCAGGAGCCAGCTCCCCGCCCCCACGCGCCGGCCTCCCCCCTCCCGACCCGCCTCCTTCCCCAGCCACCCACCGCCCGCTGCTCGTTTCTATGGCAACCGGGCAATGCTGCGCACAGACGTCCTCCCTGGGTGGACGGCAGGGGACGTCCTCTTTCTGCACCACACCGCGGTGACCCGGGAGCAGGCGCGCCTCTCGTGAATTTTCGCTGCCGGCACCGTTTTGCCGGACATCTCCCTCGGCCGCCAGCCTCATTGCAGGGCACGTGATGCTCCTGATTGAGGTTCAGTGACCAGGCACCCCACCCCTGTCCCCAAGTCCTGCCATGCCAGGTTGACTATGAAATAGCAACGGACAATCTAGTACCATGAGTGTTCATACCCATTATACAGATTCATGGATTTATGTTCGAGACAGCCTGACTAGCCTGGGCTTCATTGTGCAGACTCACAGGAGATCCTCCTGCCTCTGCCTCCGGAGTGCTGGACGGTGGAGAGCCACCATACTGCCTTATTAACAATAAGGGTGATTGGCTGCACAGTGGTGGCGCAGGCCTTTAGTCCCAGCACTCCACGAGGGGTGCAGACCTGGGGGCTTGGTTCTCCAGGCGCTCACAGTTGGCCTGCACTAGCTCACCACAGAGCTCCTTTGTCTCCACTCTCCAGTGCTGGGATTATAAGCACGTGCCACTGTGTCTCTGTTTTTTATGTAGGCACCAGGGATTCGAACTCAGGTCCTTAAGCTCTTGAGTAATATATTGACCGAACCATGTCCGCGCGTCCCAGATGTTGTTGTTGTTTTTAAGACTTATTTTATTTATGCCTGTGCTTACAGAAACTGGAGGTCTTGGTTCTCCTAGAGCTGGAGGGATCCGAGACCCTCAGATATGGGGGCTGAGATTCAAAGTCAGGTCCTCTGAAAGAGCAATACATGCTCGGCCATCTCCCCAGCCACCCCTGTGTGGCTGTGTGTGTGTCTGTGGCTGTGTCTTATGCAGCCCTTAAATCTGCTATTGATGTGAGACTGGCCTTGAACTCCTGATCTTTCCGCCACAGCCTCCTTTTTTTTTTTAAAATGGTTTATTTATTTATTATATATGAATACACTGTTGCTGTCTTGAGACACACCAGAAGAGGGCATCAGATCACACCACAGATGGTTGTGAGCCACCATGTGGTTGCTGGGAATTGAACTCAGGACCTCTGCAAGAGCAGTCAGTGAGTGCTCTTAACCACTGAGCCATCTCTCCAGCCCATGCCTCTGCCTCCTAAGTGTCCCATTTTATACACTGGATCTAGGCCTCAGGGTCATAAAAGCTCTCCGGTTGGCTGCTGGCACCCGGGCCTCTGATGCCAACTCTGAGGTCCCTTAGGCAACACCACATACCCATGTGATCCATGCACCCGCGTGTGTCAGCGCACACCCCTACTCATACACACATGTACATCTATTACATGTATTCACATGTGTGCATTTCCACAAGTCTGTGAGCCAGCTCACCCGTGCGCGTGAAGCACACGTACAATACTAATATCAGCCCATCACACATCTTTAAGACGTGTGCACACATATGTACACTGAACCAGAACCCACAACACACAAACTTCCTATATAATCCCAGCTACGCATCTGAGCCCTTGGCCTGGGTGTGATGATGCTCTCTGAATGCAGGATAGTGCCCCGAGCCAGGCCTGAGCCATGAACTACTCCACAGGCAGGGTGTCACCGTGGGGCTCCTCCCCGCACTAAGGAGCCAGACCATTTGGCTCAGCTGTGCTGCTGAGGGAAGACCCGTAGGCCAGAGTCAGACCACCACTGCCTCCACCCTGAAACTCCTCTTTGTGATCCAAACCTGATGCTACCTGAAGCCGCTGGCCCTGGGCTCACTCACTCCTACTGCAGACCAGCCACCTTCTGAGCTCCAGGCTCCACACAGCCCTGTGACCTGACGATCCTGGAGGAGTGGTGGCCTGAGACCAGACAGAGGACCGGGGACCAGGATATACAGCATGACCTACAGGACATCTGTCCACAGCTGACACTACAATAAGGCCTGAGGTGAGGGTCACTGTAGCGTCTGTCCCATGGGGACCCTTCTCCACTACCGACAGCCTTGTCTGAGGGGAAAAAAACCCCACACATTCTGTGGCTAACACCACTCTGACCCTTGGAACACTGAGGGCAGAGGGGACCAATCTGGACCACAGACCACTCTCTCTCCATCACAAGGACACGGGGTTGTGCTATTGCTTCTGACTCAAGATTCACGTTCCCTTCCCGGATCTGCACCTCCTTGTCCTCCTGGATCAAGCAGAGCCTCCTGTTCCTCAGAATCACGGCTCACTGTGGTATCTTTGCCCGAACTTGCTCCTACAACAAGATCAGTGCAAGACGCACTCTGGGGTCAGAGAGTTCCTCACACATTCCGTGGGTCCCCAGCCTTTCCCTGCTAAGATTCACTCCCCAGTCTTGTTTCTTGGGCTGAGCTACACCCCACCCCAGCACTGCTCCCCAGAGAGGGCAGATAAAACAGAAGACAAAAACAAAATGGGGCGGTGGGGGGTCTGTTTGGTTTTGTTTTTCCTTTTTTCGGTGCTGGTGCTGGGCATTGAAGCAGGCCTTCACACATGGGATGACGGTACTCTATCAGTGTGCGGCCCCCAGCACCCGAGCCATTAATCTATCTATCTATCTATCTATCTATCTGTCTATCTGTCTCTTTGTTGGGGTCAGAGAGTTCTTGGGTTAAGAGCCTTGGCTGCTCTTTCAGAGGTCCTGAGTTCAGTTCCTAGAACCTACATGATAGCTTATGACTGTTTGTGTGATGGTTTGTATATGCTCGGCCCAGGGAGTGGCATTATTAGAAGGTGTGGCTCTGTTGGAGTGGGTGTGGCCTTGTCAGAGTGGGTGTGATCTTGTTGGAGTGGGTGTGGCCTTGTCAGAGTGGGTGTGATCTTGTTGGAGTGGGCATGGCTTTGTTGGAGTGGACGTGTCACTGTAGGTGTGGGCTTTAAGACCCTCATCCTAGCTTCCTGGAGGCCAGGATTCTGCTATGAGCCTTCAGATGAAGATGTAGAACTCTCAGCTCCTCCTGCACCATGCATGCCTGGATGCTGCCATGTTCCCACCTTGGAGATAAAGGACTGAACCTCTGAACCTGTAAGCCAGCCCCAGTCAAATGTTGTCTTTATAAGAGTTGCCTTGGTCATGGTATCTGTTCACAACAGTAAAACCCTAACTACAACAGTCTGTAATTCCAGTTCCAGGAGATCCAGTACCCTCTTCTGGCCTCCAAGGGGAACCGGCATACACAGCGTGCACGACATACAAGCAAGAACACTCATAAAATAAAAAACAAATCTAAAATTCTACAGAGGTAGAAATACAAATGGCCTACTTTAGATTCACGCGTGTATCTTCCTCACTAAACAGCATCTGATTGAATGTTTTTCAAAAGGAGAGTTGGGGAGCGACTCAAGTGGAAGACGACAAGAACGGCATTAAAAAGAGAGTCCAGAGCTGGAGAGATGGCTCAGCGGTTACAGGAACTGACTGCTCATCCAGAGATCCTGAGTTCAATCCCCAGCAACCACACTGTGGCTCACAACCATCTGTGATGGGATCCGATGCCCTCTTCTGTCTCATGTGCTCGTCTGTCATGCAGGCACACATGCAAATGGCATGTTCATATAAATAAAGAAATCTTTATGAGAAAGAGAGTCCAGTGAAGACTATGAGATTTTAGTTCACAGGGAAAAGGGAATTTTAAAAGGAACAACATGGGATCAATAGGAATAAGAGGTTGGCCTTATGATGAGTTTTATAAAGACAATAAGTTTACTTATAAAGGACACGGGATATTGTGTGGAAGTATGTATGTTGTATGTATGTATGTTGTATGTATGAGCCAGGCGTGGGGGTACACACCTTTCATCCCAGTACCAAGTAGGCTGAGGCAGGCAGATCTCTGTGAATTCAAGGCCAGCCTGGTCTACATAGTGAGCTCCAGGACACCACTACTGTGGTGGCCCATGGGAAGTGGTACTATTAGGAGGTGTGGCTTTGTTGGAATGGATGTGGCCTTGTTGGAGGAAGTGTGTCACTGTAGGGGTAGACTTTTAGCTTTCCTACTGTTCAAGCTCTGCCCAGTATAAAAGGAGACCCTCCTCCTGGATGCCTTCAGAATGAGACGTAGAACTCTCAGCTCCTCCAGCACCATGCCTGCCTGGATGCTGCCATGTTCCCACCTTGATGATAATGGACTGAACCTCTGAACCTGTAAGCCAGCCCCAATTAAATGTTTGCCTTTATAAGCATTGTCATGGTCATGGTGTCTGTTCACAGCAAGAAAACCCTAACTAAGACAAGGTTCTTTTAATGTTTTAGAATTATTTATTTTTATTTATGTCTGTGAGTGTTTCGCTGAGCCATCTCTCCAGTCCCACAATTTTGTATCTTATGTGTGCATGCGTTGAGCTCAGGTAGTCAGAGTTTGCTCCACACACCTTTATCTGCTGAGTCATACCACCAGCCCCCCCCACACACAAGTCTCTATTTTTCATTTTAGGACAGGATCTTGAGAAATTGCCTGGTCTGGCTTCACCCAGACTCAGGCTGGCTGTCACCTTTCGGTCCTGGTGTGCAGCCCTGGATGTTAGTAATGATGAAAAGCTAATCCACATTCATCACACAAGTCCCTGTCAACCAGAAGACTGCTGCCAGTCGAACTAAGCCAGCACCAAACTACAGGAAGTACCACAACACTGGAGATGGTGGTACAAGGTGGCAAGCCCCCGAGAACTAGAAGGCTCAGTTGCCCGGCCAATCACAAGACAGCCATAGCGTCCACTAGGAAACAGGCTCTGAGACTGAGCCATTTTCCCAA